TGGATTTGATAGGTGCAACATCAATAAATTTTAAATAGCGATTTTTATGAATTGTTTGGTTTTCTTATTTCATTTTATTTTTTTATGAATCTAAACGTCCTATTTTAGTGTGAATAATATAAAAGACCAAGTATAAACGTTTATCTGTTTGTGATTGGGAACAAATGTGAATTTTTTTATAATATTAAAATTACTAAACGTAATATTTTAAAAAAAATTCTCAGTGTATTTTTTTTCAAACATAATATTTCAAAAGCTTTATACTCTAATGTAATGTACTAAAATTCTTTAGTGTAATAATGAAGCATTCTAAAAAAATTGTACTTTTCTCAAATGTGTTAATATAACATTTAAAAAAAAATTATTAGTGTATTTTTTTCAAAAGTAACACCGCAATATAAAACATTAAGGGTAAATTACAAACACACTCCCTGATGTTTATTTAAATTACAAATTATCCTGTGATTTTAGAAATTACATTATGCCCCCAAAAGTTTTTAATTTTATAACAAATAGGTCATTTTTATTCATAAATCATCAAGTTAATTAACAGTTTTTAATAATGTTAAAATTTTATTTCAATTAATAATTCAAATAATTTTATTATTATATAGGTGACCAGTTAGAAATTTCACTTTTTCAAATAATTCTGTTAAATAAAAAATTCTGACAAAAAGATATTTGTAATTTTTCAAACTACAGGGAGCAATTCATATTTTAAACAAACTTTAAAGGGTGTATTTGTAATTTATCCAAACATTAAAAACTCTTTAATATATTTTTATCAAACGTAACATTCTAAAAAAAATTATTAGCGTATTTTTTCTCAAATGTAACAACATAATATTGTAAAAAAAATTTCTTAATGTATTTTTTTCCAAACATAACATCTCAATTAATGTAACACAAAAACTTTTTAATATACTTGTTTCAAACATAACACTAGAAAATCAACACTAAAAAAAATGTAGAGTTCCACGCTCAACAACCAACACTTCAACATCAATCCCCCCCAAAAAAAATCTTCGACACCTCACATTTTCATTCACATCCAAAAAACAAATCAAAAAATTAAAAAAATGAACCACAAAAAGGATATTTACTTAAACCCAAATACACAAAATCAAATAATTATAACGTTCCAAAACAAAAAGAACTAATTAATTCATAAATAAATAAAAATTCTTAGGATTAAATGGATCAATATTTCTCCATATAAAATTTATGAGTAATTTTCCATTTGAAAATCATCAAATTCTCATATACAACTTTGAGCAAAAAATTATTATAAAAAATAAAAAAAAAACAAAAACAAAAAAAACAAAACAAAACACAAACACAAACAAACGGTCACAGATAGAGGTTTTAGCATTGTGATTATATGTTTTTTAAGACCTCGTTTGAAAATAGATTATTTTAATAATTTTTTAATTTTTTATTAAAAAAAATAAAAAGAGTAATATAACAACTTATAATAATTTTTTAACTAAAATATATAGTTAACAATGAAACTTCAGTGTCAAAATCATATTTCTTTCACGGGTCAACAGGCCTCAAGGCCACTGGACCGAGAGGCGAGTCTATTTTTCAGTTTTTGTTCCAAATCAATCACATAACGAAAAAGTTTACAGGACTCACCTTTGTTAAGTACTTTGAGACAACTAATACTAATTCACTTATTGTGATTTGTAACTGTGATTTCTAATTAGGCAGAAGTAACAATGTAAACAATGCACATGATTAGCCTGAGCTATTTCGAGAATATTTAATAATTTTTCATGCAATAAAGAAATATAAATTTTAGCCACGAATAATAATTACATTTGATGTTTTCTGAAACTCACCTACTCTAGGTGTGGCTTTAACTTCATAATTAAATTCTCCATGCTAGCAGAGAACTGAACCTACAATAGACATTAAGAAAAAATCTTATAAAAGTAGGTCAACGTTTGGTCTATTAACAAAATGAATAAATGGAAGGTAGGTCATCTGCTACAGATAAAAATAATTATAATCTAGTAAGATTAAAATCACATACACCAACAGAACACAGATATAAAACCTTTTTAGCTGACTCATTATACATCTGGCGGATATGCCATTGGACGACAAAGGACCAAAACTGTTTTGGATATCATGGTTTCCTTAGGGCAGATGCTGCGCCCATGACAACAGCTAGGATGATACCAAGACCGGCTCCAAGAGAAGCACCCACAGCTGCATTAGTCAAAGAGGATGCCTTGGCCTGAGAATCTTGAGTTGCAGCCACTGCACGATCTCGTGCCAATTCCAACATAAGTGTATCTTGTGCAAGTTCCTTTAAAACAATAGGGAGAGGCCAAGATGAAATCAAAAAAAAGAAAAAAAAAACTTTGGAATTGTCAACAAACTTGGAAAATGAATAAGAGAATAGTTTACAACTGCAGCAGTCACAATTCAAAAGTACCCAGTAGCTTAATCCTTGTTCTATTCACATGAGGAACTCGAGAATTAACACAATCAAGGTACTATCCTTTGAATACTACAAGATTCAAGAACTTTTCTAGTATTGTATCATTACCCACCTATTTTCTTAATAAAATATTTAATGCTACATTATTAGATGAAAATAGGTGGGTAATGATACAATACTAGAAAAGTTCTTGAATCTTGTAGTATTCAAAGGATAGTACCTTGATTGTGTTAATTCTCGAGTTCCTCATGTGAATAGAACAAGGATTAAGCTACTGGGTACTTTTGAATTGTGACTGCTGCAGTTGTAAACTATTCTCTTATTCATTTTCCAAGTTTGTTGACAATTCCAAAGTTTTTTTTTTCGTTTTTTTGATTTCATCTTGGCCTCTCCCTATTGTTTTAAAGGAACTTGCACAAGATACACTTATGTTGGAATTGGCACGAGATCGTGCAGTGGCTGCAACTCAAGATTCTCAGGCCAAGGCATCCTCTTTGACTAATGCAGCTGTGGGTGCTTCTCTTGGAGCCGGTCTTGGTATCATCCTAGCTGTTGTCATGGGCGCAGCATCTGCCCTAAGGAAACCATGATATCCAAAACAGTTTTGGTCCTTTGTCGTCCAATGGCATATCCGCCAGATGTATAATGAGTCAGCTAAAAAGGTTTTATATCTGTGTTCTGTTGGTGTATGTGATTTTAATCTTACTAGATTATAATTATTTTTATCTGTAGCAGATGACCTAGCTTCCATTTATTCATTTTGTTAATAGACCAAACGTTGACCTACTTTTATAAGATTTTTTCTTAATGTCTATTGTAGGTTCAGTTCTCTGCTAGCATGGAGAATTTAATTATGAAGTTAAAGCCACACCTAGAGTAGGTGAGTTTCAGAAAACATCAAATGTAATTATTATTCGTGGCTAAAATTTATATTTCTTTATTGCATGAAAAATTATTAAATATTCTCGAAATAGCTTAGGCTAATCATGTGCATTGTTTACATTGTTACTTCTGCCTAATTAGAAATCACAGTTACAAATCACAATAAGTGAATTAGTATTAGTTGTCTCAAAGTACTTAACAAAGGTGAGTCCTGTAAACTTTTTCGTTATGTGATTGATTTGGAACAAAAACTGAAAAATAGACTTGCCTCTCGGTCCAGTGGCCTTGAGGCCTGTTGACCCGTGAAAGAAATATGATTTTGACACTGAAGTTTCATTGTTAACTATATATTTTAGTTAAAAAATTATTATAATTTGTTATATTACTCTTTTTATTTTTTTTAATAAAAAATTAAAAAATTATTAAAATAATCTATTTTCAAACGAGGTCTTAAAAAACATATAATCACAATGCTAAAACCTCTATCTGTGACCGTTTGTTTGTGTTTGTGTTTTGTTTTGTTTTTTTGTTTTTGTTTTTTTTTTATTTTTTATAATAATTTTTTGCTCAAAGTTGTATATGAGAATTTGATGATTTTCAAATGGAAAATTACTCATAAATTTTATATGGAGAAATATTGATCCATTTAATCCTAAGAATTTTTATTTATTTATGAATTAATTAGTTCTTTTTGTTTTGGAACGTTATAATTGTTTGATTTTGTGTATTTGGGTTTAAGTAAATATCCTTTTTGTGGTTCATTTTTTTAATTTTTTGATTTGTTTTTTGGATGTGAATGAAAATGTGAGGTGTCGAAGATTTTTTTTGGGGGGGATTGATGTTGAAGTGTTGGTTGTTGAGCGTGGAACTCTACATTTTTTTTAGTGTTGATTTTCTAGTGTTATGTTTGAAACAAGTATATTAAAAAGTTTTTGTGTTACATTAATTGAGATGTTATGTTTGGAAAAAAATACATTAAGAAATTTTTTTTACAATATTATGTTGTTACATTTGAGAAAAAATACGCTAATAATTTTTTTTAGAATGTTACGTTTGATAAAAATATATTAAAGAGTTTTTAATGTTTGGATAAATTACAAATACACCCTTTAAAGTTTGTTTAAAATATGAATTGCTCCCTGTAGTCCTTACACCAAACCACCTAGGGTCCGAATACAACCGCTCCGTTCAAGGGTCCCGAAAACCACTTGCGCAAGTTTTAACCTCGAATAGGGAACGCATCCCAACAAACCATATATCACATTTTCTCATCTTTTCATTACTCAAGTGTTCGAAAACCCAATACCCACCCAATTAGGTTTCCCGTTGAATTAAGTGTTTTAAGTCAAGGTTAGTCCAACTAAACGATAAAATAAAATTCACATAAGCATGCCTCCTCAAGATAAGAAGATAAATAACATAACATACCCATACAACATTATGCCAAGATATGATAATAGGCCATCAAACATTTTCATGAATACAAGGGTATAAAACATCCAAACATAGCAAATTTCCAGATTTAACATCACAAGAAGGTTAATATGGAAGGACTACTTAGGTTCATCCACCGGACTCGGTTTTCCTATGGTTCGTAGAGAATTTGATCTAGCTCCTAGAGCATTTTTCGGAATTGGGGTTGCTCTTCCAGATTCTAAGTTATTTAGAAAATATTTCAGCGCTGTCCAAGGTCCGTCCAGAATCTGCCCAGTTCTGTCGACTGTTACCAAAACTTGATTTTCTTGCAAACCGCTCAATGTTTTTCGATGAAACCAATTTTAGTTGAAAGCTAACTCCTTAAGGAAGGTTTTGACATAAAATAGAGGTTCAGAATATTTTTGTACATTTTTCTGGAATTATTGAAAGTTGACTGCAAAAACAAGTTTTAAGGTAGAATGCCCGAAACAAGAAAATTTATAAAAAGGGGGTTCTACCATGGGAAAGTTTCATTTCTTTTGTGAAGAAAATATGCTAACTATCACATGTTTAACTCAGAAAATTTGTTTGAAAGAGTAACCTTGAAAAGTTGAGTGATGTGTACAAAAGAAGATGGTTTTGTGCCAAAATGGGTAAAATACATGAGAGATGGAAACAATACTCAAATCTTAATATTTTCAACATAGGAACTTGATAATAACAGATCTGAAACTTTATCTAGAATCTCTAAAAACATGCATTAGAAAAGGAAATGAAGAGAGGGTTGTGTTGGTGGCTTACCTTCCAACTTTGCACAAGAAACTCTTTCCTTCCTCCCTCTTCTTCTCTAGACTTCTCTTCCTTGCTCTCCCCACTCTTTCTAACCAAAATGTGTGTGTGAGTGAGTGTGTTGTGTGTATGTTTGCAAGCTAGGGAGGGTGTGGTATATATAGACAATTTTGGGGTAAAAGGACATAAAAGCCCTTTAGTTGAAAATGGGTGGGAAAGCTAGGATTTTGGTTGGTGTCAAATGGGATAGGAGTAACTAAGGTGCTAAATCATAGGTTTTGGAATCAAATAGTTGATCTTTAGTTGAAAGGTAACTAGTTTTGAAATTAGCAACCTAGGTGTAGGCCACTAGGTTGTGTTTTTTTCCTAGAACATCATGATGGTGGTTCTTGAAAATTGGCTCCTCTCTTGGGGAAGTGTGAGGGGGTTATTATTTAAATCATTTTAGGTTCTAGGCACACTCCTCTAGGTATATATATATATATGTAACAAGATTGATGGTACTAATAATATTAGGGTACATGTACTAGTTTTTTTGGTTTATTTTGAATTTAATAAAGAAGTAAGAGCTTGGTGTTAAATACATGTAATTTATGTAAAATTAAATTAGGTTAGGGAACCTAATCTGGCTAGGGTAATTCCTGTTTCGATAAAAATTAAAAATGCTAACTGACAAGATTCGAAATAATTTAAGAAACTCAGGAGCTTTAAGGAAATAATTCAAATACATTTTTTCTGGGGTTTCACATTAAATGTAATGAAATGAGGAGGATTAGAACCTTAATCATTTATTTAATTATGATCTAGTTAGGTCTAGGACTAATGTAAATATCTTCTAATTAGAAGCACACACATATATATAGCAAATCTTTATAGGTACCAAAGTCATTATTGCTCCAAGATTTCAAGAGATTTTAAAGTACAATGATTATAATCTAGGGGGGTATGATGGCTAGCCATGTGATGGTGAATTGATGGACATGTTATATATATATATATATAGTACAAATCTTGGAAATTGCAAAATACATTATTAAAAAAGATTTTTGGGTATAAGTGCATATATATATAAATATGTAAAATATATTATTAAAAAAGATTTTTGGGTAAAAGTGTATATATATAAATATATAATAGTACTTGTTTGGGGTCAATTTGTGATTTAATAAAAATGTGCGGGCTTGGGTTCAATTAAAGTATCTATTTCAAGTGTAAAATAATTCAGTTTGTATTATCTTGCTTTGAATTTAAAGGTAAATAACCGAACGATGACTGTAAAAATTGAAAGTTAAGGTTTAGAGCGATTAATCTAAAATTTGAGAGTTAAGTAATTAATATTAGAGTGTTTAGAAGTGATTTCTAAGCTTCCAGGATCGATTAGGGTTTGTACGGATTCGCCCGTGATGCGTTTTCAGTCCTAGGGTTTAATTTGCGATTAATCGACGAACTAAGGGCTTTATTATAATAATTCAAAATTTTGGGACCTAATAAAGTTTACAAAAAAGTCAGGAGCCTCACAAGAATGGCCCAAATTAATGTCAAAGCTACAAACATGTTGTACTGCGCCTTAGATGCCAACGAGTTCAATAGAATTTCCACATGTAAAACTGCTAAAGAAATTTGGGACAAGCTTATAGTGACTCATGAGGGAACCGAACAAGTTAAAGAATCTAGAGTCAGTTTGCTAGTCCATAATTATGAACTTTTTAAAATGAAGCCTGATGAAACTATTCCTCAAATGTTTACTCGTTTTACTGATATTATTAATGGTTTAACTTCTCTTGGCAAAATATATACTAATGCTGAAATTGTAAGAAAGGTGCTTAGGTCATTGCCAAAAAGTTGGGAGACAAAAGTCATTGCCATTACCGAAGCCAAGGGTTTATCAAAGCTAAGTCTAGATGAGTTAATGGGATCTCTCTTAACTCATGAGCTCATAATGCAAGAAGGAAAGGAAGAGGAGGACAACAACAAGAAGAAAGGAATAGCTTTCAAATCCACCTCGAAACGTCAAGAGGATAAGGAAGATGATTCAGATGAAGATGAGGAAATGGC